AATCTGTAATGTTATTGTGTTCATCTAGAAGCCAAATATCTTGAGTGTCACAGTTGAGAGCTGGTGTTTTTCCTCTGGTCGTCAAAGCTGGTCCAGTCCAAAATATTCAGGAGGAGAACTGATTGTGAGCTATGCGACTGGTGTAAACTGAGTCCTTTTGTCTCTTTTTCTGTACAAATTGTGATGATTTAAGTGAGTAAATGTTTCATGAAACGGCTCGACCAAACCCTGAAATAGAATGTTTTAGTTTACTAACTTTGTTGTTGGGGAAGATTCTCAGTCATCCAGGTCATGGCAATCCTAAGTGTTATATCGTAGGCAACTAGACTTGCTTAAGTTTCTTGAAGACATTTCACCTCTCATCCAAGAATCATCTTTAGTTCTGAAGAAGGACTAGAACTGAAGAACCCTCTTGGATGAGAGTTGAAACGTCTTCAAGAAACTCCAGCAAGTCCACTTGCCTACGATATAGCCCTTAGGAATTGCTAACTTTGTTGCAAAGGCCTTGAAACAAAGGCAAGATGGATTATTTTTATTAGAATGTATGCAGCTTTTTTCAGTATATTAGTATTTTTGGTCTGAATGCTTTAAAAGTTGCACTATGGAAATGACTCTCCACACCAGCATGTAGCTGTAGTCTGTCATTTGTCATTCAGACAGGGAAACTAGAACACTGACAGGACAGATTTAAGATGCTAGGTAGCCAGTTACCACATTAACAATACAACCTGATGTTAAAAGAACAAAAGATATGTACTGTGTGTTATCGAAATATATGAATAACTCTATTCAGCGTGTTAAAGCAGCTGAAAAAAAACAGACAAGGGCTGACTAATGCTAACACTGTGGGACACACAGCAAAAACTGAGGTGACAGATGCTCACTGACGACTCAACATTGACCAACAGCTGACTGTAGACTAGGTGTGTCAGGGCCCTATGTTGCTTTTTTATTTTTGGACTTCCTCTGGTTGAAAATGTAGGCCTATACCCTGCACTCTGGTTCTGGCTTGAGTTTATGGTGTGATGAGGACTGGGCATAGTTATATCATTACACAACAATAAAAAAATATATATATTCTTACAAAAGGGAGTTCACAAGATGCGTAAATGAAGAGGTATTAAGTAAAACCGCTAAGTTACATAATTGTTTTTTCGGGAAACATCTGATAGTGTTAACTCCCAAAATATATTAAAATTAGACAAGAGAAAGGTATAGGTCAAAATATTAAATGTATAAACCTCTGACACGTGATGCAAGGTCACAACTGCACACTGCTTTATTTTATGCCAAAAAGGCTGGAAACACCCTTTTATGTGATAGCAATTTGAGTATCCTTGGGGGATATAGACCAAACAAATAATTCAGAAAATAATTGCTTAATAATCAAACTCACTGTTGCACTGCCAGTTTCAACAATGAGGAATGTATTTTGCTTTTGTACATGAACTGCCTGCCGTATAGATGATTTATCTGACAGCCGACTGAATTGTTAGCCTTCAGGAATTCATGATCATAGCAGTAAATCCACTCTGTGCCGAGGATGGATACATAAAACATATTGGCCTATTGGATTTATTAGCTGTCTGATTTATGCAGATCTTACTCGACAGATTTCCACCTCTGTGTATCTGAAGCTTAAAATTCAGTTGACATTTACAGTGCCAAAGCAATCATGAATTGCCATCATCTCTTAACTGTATTGATCTATTTATATCTACTGTGCTGTTTATTTGGAAGATCTTAAGCATGAACGCTTGTATCACATTTATGTGCTGTTGAAAGCATAAATATTTTCCCCTGAATAAGCCCCTCTTAAACCTGACTGGGCCACCGTGTCTCCATTAAGGAAATGAAAAAAGCAAAAGCGGTGACCAAACCTCTGCTGATTGTCCCCTCATGAGGATCCCCATAAAGAAATTGGAGAATTATTAGCCTCCAATATATTATCTCAAGTCTTTAAAGTCTCTGCCCCGTCCAAGACGTGCTCCTTCCACCACCAGGATCCAAAAATAATGCCAGCCAGAAACCCGAGCCTCCAAACTTCTGCAACCTGAACTGTCTGCAGAGAAAACAATGGATTTCAGCAGCATGCACAGCTGTGCCACATGGTTTGAGCCTGTGCCTCATGTCAAGTGACTCTACTTAATCAAACCAAACAATGTATCCAGTGTGTTTCATTATGGATGGGAGCCTGATCTCTGTTTTCTTCTGGAAGCTGTAGAGCACAAGTGCAGAACACAGAAGCAAAGACAAAAGACACTCAAAGCTACAATTTATTATCTAACACCACTGGTCACATAGACATACACACACGTTTCCTGAAAATCTATGAAAGCTGTCTCAAACTGTGTTAAACCATTGTAAGAGTGTGTAAGATTTAGGGAGATTTAGTGGCATCTAGTGGCGAGGATCGCAAATTGCAACCAGATGAAACTTTTCCTGGTTAGAATTCCTTTAACGTTCATTGTTTAGGAGTTTTTTACCGGGAGCCAAATTATCTACAGAGGCCTATTCCTCTCCAAAAACAAATGGATGAGGTAGTTAAAACCAGTAAAAACAATAAAGCAGTTTCATGTTACAAATTGGTGTTTCTTCTATGCTGTTTGGCATGTAACAGATGGGCTGCTAGCCCAGCACCTGCTAATGTGTGCTCACCTTTTTTCTCTGATAACTGACAGATGCTCAGGAGGTTATTTATCGGGAGCTGAATTATCCACAGCGGTCTCCTCCTCTCTAAAACAAACGGACCCAGTGATTAAACTGGTAAAAAGACTGAATAAAGCAGTTTTGACATGAAAAAAAAAAAGTGTTTTGCCAATGCTGCTTGGTGGCCAGCGCAAAAACGTGAATGACCCTTTCTAGAGCTAGTGTTTGGTTTGTCCCTTCTGGGCTACTGTATACACATGGCTCCCTAGATCTCCCTAGATAAGGGCCTGCTCCCTATATAGATATAAATGGCTCATTTTAAGGCAACAAGAACACAACCATTCTTATTTTCAGGCGATTATACACTAAAGAAAACATTCTTATTATATCCATTTTTGCCAGTATATCCCCCTAAATCCTACACACTGGACCTTTAAAACACTTAATGTACAGATTCACTGATCTAGACCTCAAATTGAGAAAACTTGTCTAAAGAGCATTTATCAAGAACATTTGGAGCATATGTCTCAACACCAGCCCAGTATGGGGTGTTGAAAGGGGTTATTATAATCGTTTTTAAAGGTGTTATAAATGAGGCTGCAATGGAGCGTGCTCAGGTGTGAATTTCAGGCTTTAGGCAAGCCTGAAAGGATTAGTTTAGCAGATTTCTGATTTTGTTTTGCTTATAACTGGATGGGACAGGTTTCCTCAGAAGCGCATTAAAAGGTCATGTTTTGTACAGGTTGCAGGGCAGAGCGTCATGCCCGCAGAAGCTCTCTGCAACAATCAACTTCCCTCCCGTTCAGTCTCGGCAATCTTTATGCATGTTGACACGCTAGGCTGTGTTTCGTCAAAGACTGACTCCCCCTCAGTTTCATTTTAATGAAAAACGCTGCTTTATTACCGCCATGATTTAGATGCTCCAAATTGGTACATTGAGTTTTGCTCTGTCTTTGATGCACAGCCTCTGTGGCTTGTAGTTGCCAATCAGCTCTCTTATGAGGCTTTATACTTATAGCGTTTTGGTTGGGTATTAATTCACTTTTAGGGTAGTATTCAGACTCGTGCAGCTTTTTGTATTCTGTTGCTAGTTTATCAGAGATCTAAATGATCACGTGGTGTCATGCTCATGCGTTTCATTTGGTGTGTGCTGCTTCTTAGAGCTCAGGGTAACATAGCATAGCTGTTTTTTCCCCTTCGTAACAAAGAGGCAAAGCAGATTCCAGGACTGAGGCCCGTAACTGGCAGACCACATCTCCACTTTAAAAAGTGTAATTTGATTAAATCTGCTCTGTTTCAGTCCAGAATCTGTGCTGGCTGAAACTAGCAAAGTGGATTAACTCTATCACAGGATAATGCAGATTAAACTGGTAAACACAATCACTAAGTGATGCATATGGCCTGCAGGGGAGGAGTGTTTTCAGACAGAAGAACTGGGTGAAAATATTTGGGTTTTAATTGCAGTGTGCACAGCTGAAAAGGCACAGATAATATAACATTTCCATTTCATACAACACTGACAGTGTTGGAACATTGAGCAGAAAAATACCAGTGCTGCCTGAGCCTGTAATACCTCCAGGTCCCAACGCATTTGCTCTTTTTGTAAAAATTAGCCATGTTAATGCAAATGATGCTGCTAATGAAAGCATTAAGTTATTCAGCTGGTGTTTCTCTGGAGTGATACGTCAGCATGTCTCTTGATCCCTGAAGCGATTTTCCCCCTGGGCGAGGACGGGTAGTCATGCTTGCTCTGACGGTGGAGATACAGCCGGTTCAATGAAAGCGGGGGTAGCAGCTGGAGAAAATCCATTCCCAGAGTGAGCGTTCTGCTGAGGCAGGTATGCCGACCTTTCAGTCATCTGATAGGTCAACGCTCGGCAGCGTGCCTGGACATTCGTGGCTAAACGCCAGGCCTGGTGGTGCTCATAGTAAAGCTTATCTGAGTAGCAGCCAGCTATGATCAATGGAACCCCTTGGCAGCTCATTTATAGTACAGTATGGCAGCGCCACAAAACACTCACCAACAGATGCAGGTGACAGATGACGATAGGGTTTACCCATGTGCATGATGACCATTCAGAATCTCAACGTAGGCCATGAGTGTTCAATGTGTCTGAAGCAAAATGCAGTTTTAATCCATTGTGCAGTACTCCAGTCGATCACCTTTAATTGCCACCCAATTATTGCTTGTAAATTAGTCTTGGATGACTTGGGTGCAATGAGATTTTTTCTGCTTTGTCTGCAGGAATTCTGTGCAGAGGAATATGCCTGCACCTTGTTCTCTGGCATGTCAGGCTCCAGCCCCGATGAGACAAACATTAAAATTCCTCGTTTGTGGTTCTTTCTTGCAGGTGCCCACGGAGTGAGAGAGGAGCCCCGGTTTGTGACGGCGCGCGCCGGAGAGAGCGTGATCCTGGGGTGTGACGTGTCCCCTCCCCTGGACGGCCAGCAGCCCCCCTATGTGGTGGAGTGGTTCAAGTTTGGAGTGCCTATCCCTTTCTTCATCAACTTCCGCTTCTACCCTCCTCATGTGGATCCAGAGTACACTGGTAAGCTGTCTCTAAGACAAAGAAAATACCACAAACACATTGTGAAAAGTTTTATCTGTAACAGATTTAGCTTAAAACCTGTGAATTAATGAGCATTTGGACGAATCTTGGGATGAATCAGGATCAGGATCTTAATAGTTGCCAAGCACAGTAAATCCACAGGACTCTATTCTGTTGACACTGCAGCAGATACAAAGTTGACAGAAAGATTTTAACAGTACACAGTGAAAAACAGTGACCATCAAGGGCAGATGGACATGCATGATGACACTTTAAACTTCATTTTACAACATGTAAAAGATGGTAGCTTGCAGATAAAATCAGAATTATAGCTGCATCAAACAACTTTTCAGATTTAAAGGAGTATTAAAGAAGTAGACATTTGCTGAAATACACTTATTGGATTGATAGTATGAAACTGAAGTTGTAGACAAATGGAGAGCGTCCTGAAAACCACAAAAAAATGCCCATAGTCACAGCCGAAAATGTTCGGCAACACATGAAAGCACTGACAAGTACCATGACGTATCAGGCTCTTTTTTCATTTCACAGGGGAAGATTTCAACCACTACCCCTTGTAGGCCTAACTCTGTTCCAAGGGGCAAGGTGGTACTTGAAAAAGAGGGGCAGGGGTAAAAATAAGAAATGGCAGTGGGCCTAAAAATGAAGTGACGGCCAGGTTAGCTTAGCTTAGCATTAAGACTAAACTTGCACCGATTAATCGGCAGTGCTTGGAACTGGGCCAACTTTCATGTGATCAGCCATGACCTGCGACCGGCAGCTCAGTCTAAAAAATGCCAATTTAAAACGCCGGTCAAAGTCCCAGCGTGCCGCATGATTGACACACACACACATGTGCAACTCACAGCTTGGGTGATGTGAGGAAGGGGACCTCAGGGACACACTGGTTTGGCTAGGACAACTATGGAGTAAATGACTCCGGCCAGAGAATCAGGTTCTAGAGGATACTTTAATTTTCAATGCAGGAGGTTCACAGCAAGTGTGTATGTGTGAGGTTCTGAAATACGCAAAAGGTAAAATAGCTTTACACTCAATTCTTACAAATATGGCTTCTCGCCTTCATCATTCACACACACACATCAAAAGAGAGAAGGAGAAAGTTGTTAATTGTCTGTGTTAAACTTAACTGCAGAGCTCTCACTGCTGCACTGTGCCGCTTGAAACTGATGAGGCGCGTATCCGCGTGTCCTGGCGGGCGTGTCCTCAGCGCTAAGGGCTTTCGTACAGGCGACCTACACCATGTCGGCCGTATGGAATTTTTTTGAAGTGCCTGAGGAGGATAACAAGTTTGCAGTATGCAACACCTGCGAGGCTAAAATAGGGCACTCTAATAAAGGAACGATAGAAAATATTGCAATATCTTATGTGTTGTAAAGTGGTTTGAAAAAAATGAAATCGGAATCGGCCATTCAAACAAGTGTAATTAAGATTGTTAACAGGGGAAAGTGCTAGCCTGGCTTGAAAATCTGCGTAGCTGCACCCCTGAAAAGTCACTAATTAACAGGTTATTACTTGGTTGTTTAATCTGTGCAAAAAACAAAGTGTAAAAAGACCGCTTATAGTGAGTCAGATAGGCCTGTAATGTGTTAACTAGTGAGCCATGGAGGTGCTGGTAGGCTTTTGTTACAGTTGCCCAGAACCAGGCTAGCTTTTTACCTCTGTTTCCAGACTCAATGCTAAGCTAAGCTAACTGTTTCCTGGCTGTAGCTTGATATTGATATTTCTATAGGCTTTACGTACAGACACAAGAATATGGATTTTCTCATCTGACTGACTGACTGAAGAAAAAACACACACAAATAACTAAGTTTGTTTCCCAGAATGTCAAATTATTCCTATAACAGAGATTATATTCTGCTTTGATGAAGTTGTTTCACTTTGTTTGACCTTGGTTCAGTTAATATGTTAACAGCCAACCAGGTTACATGAACCATATTATTTACTTAAGTTATATGGCATCTGTATTGTAACCAGCCATGTGCAGCCTGACCAGTATTTCCCCTACAGCAGAGTACGGAGCGTATCTCAAAGCATCAAACTGATGGATACAGTAGTGATCTGTCACTTAAAAAACATTACAGACTTGCATTAATCTATAATAATTCTGTAAACATTTCTGTGTTATATTCCCCTACACTGCCGCAGGCCTAATTATGAGCCTCTGGCTGAGAGCAGGAGCATTTCTGACAGCTACTTAAATATATTGCAGTGCAAATGTGCTGTGTACATGCACCTCCCCAGTCGTATTTCATTGAGAAGATTGACCCGCAATTTCAGCGTGATCCAGTGTGTTTCTCCCTCAGAATGGTACTTCAGCAGTTTGGGCTTTAAGTATAAGGCATGGCGCAGCACGCTGAGGCCTTTAAGTACTAAGAGGGAGACTTGGCCGCCTTCGCAAACCGTTTTGGTTCCTAATTGAACTGCACTTCTTTCTGTTCTAACATGGCGTTTGGGGCTGTGCAGGGGCATCTGCTGCCTCTGAGTGCATAGAGGGAAATAACTGTGTCTCAGCAATTTACAACTGCATTGTACATACGTTCTTTCCCACACACTCTAGTGACAATGCAGCACAGAGCACATACAGTATAGAGTCAATACAGTATATTAAAACACCCTACATGCTGTACTTATAGAACGGGGCAAGATAAAGCACAGAAATTTAAGCTTTGATAAAGCTATAACCAACAAATTAGTGGCATTTAATTATAAATTAATATGAAAATAAGTGTCATTCAGCCTACCCTTATTTGACATAAATGGAGGGGGTCAAAATAATGGAAACACCTGTTAGTATAGTGCACAGAATGAAGAGCACCACAAACTGCAGCCTCCTGTCTAAAACTGAAAATATAACCTTAAGGGACAGCTGTATAAGGCAGAGCAAATCTTAGCAGGCCCTTTTTCTGACTTTTTTCAAAAGAGCGAAGCATTTTGCTCGCTGTTTTGTGTTGCTGAGCAGACCACGTTTTTCCACTTGCGTTTTTGCAGTAGGGCCCTGAACGCCTCGTGTTGAAAGAACTGCAACTCAGGGCAAAAAAGCATCCGACGTCATTGCCGTTTTTTCCCCACTGTCCAATCAGATGACTAAGGAGGCAACATACTGTGTCCAAAATAATGAGCTGGAAGATGCTGTAGCTGAAGGAAACTGCAGAGTTAGGTGATGTTGTAATTGTGATCCCTTATTAACATAAAAATTATCCATTATAGCAGCTTTAAAATTAGGATGCATATATATATATATATATATATATATATACACATAGTAACATATGTGTTTTTCTTCACATTCATTACAGCATCACACAGCCTTAAAATATCCCTCTCCTGGCTTAGACTATATGTTGCCACTGCCTTCACACAAACTACTTGCAGCAGGAAATTGGTTCTTCTGATGTTGCTTCAGCATCTGTGACAAGATGGCGAGCTGTCAGAATGGGGTCAGAATTATCCCTTCCTGTTCCCACCTCTTTACCAAGTACAAAACCCCCGCCTGACCTGGTAATATGCTGTGAAATAAAGGCAAAGCACGGCTTGTAGAAAGGCTGGAGGATTCATCTCCCTAGTGTGAGCGTCCTAAATGTGGACATCACAGATTTTTCAGTAAAAATGGTGTGAATAATATTTAATTCATTGAAATTCCTCCCTGTGGGCTTTTCAAGCAGGGTCATCACTGCAAAGAAGACTAATGGCAGTGACTCACTGTCTGGGGAACCCTCCTTTTTTGTTTTGCAGTGGCTACTGTAGATACTGCAGCTGCTGGAGCGTTTCATTGCTTACTTTAACCTCCTGACCAGCAGCAGGGTATGAACGGCCAGCGCTTTTCAAACAGCATCACACTCCGCTGTGCTCACTCGGGCTCCAGTGGGCCTCTGCCATGTGGCGTCAAGTCCACTGCTGAGGAATTACCACTGAACAGATGCAACATGAATATGGCCAGTCTCATTACATAGATTAAAGTTTGTTCTGGGGATTGCATGTGCACTGTGACAGTGCGATAATGACACTGGACTCTAATTTATTTTTTTCTGGTCCTTGCAGTCTCAGAGCTCATTTGGGCTATTCCCATGAATTGTTATCACTCAGTATGAATAAAATTGGTGAATAGACTAAGGGCCTTTTTAAACGATCTGTAGTGCACCTTTGCTAGTTTAACGGCGCATAATCTGGGCACAAAGTAAGGCGTGAGGGGCAAAGGGTTGTGAATGAATCAGAGTGTGAGCACCCATTCCCTTTAAAAGCCAGGGGTGCCTGGCAGATTTGGCACATTGGAGAAGCAAGCAGTTTCTTGCTGAGAATAATGCAGTAAGAGTATTGTGCTACAAACATTGTGGGACATTTAAACAGCAAAACTAAAAACTAAAAACTTGACAGAGGAAACAGAACTAAAATTTTAGGTCCTGCGATAATCAGTGATGTTACACTGCTCCTTGTGTGCGTCTCTCTTAGTAGGGAGTTGGACAGCAGCTCTGCAGCTCTGTTCTCTGTTGTGTGCTATGTCCACATTTTAGAGAATGTAATTTATATTTTTCTCATTAATAATGTACTATTTCAACCACCCACAACAATGGGTGCGCCCCTGTGTGTGTATAACAAGCAGAGAGTATGTGCATTGTGAGCCCACTGATGTATGCACAACCTGGTCTCACTCAATGTCAAATACAGATGCATGGTCTGTGGCCCTCGACGTCAGATACTAATGGACAGAAGCATTTTTTGATGCTTCAAGCAACTACAGTAGTATAAAGGGCGAGAAAGTCCACATAGGGAAAATGGAAAGGGAGGGGTGTGTGTCAAACCAACTCTGGACTTTCACCCAGGAGCCCAGTGTTTGTTTCACATGTAAAGCCAAAAGTCAATCGAATTATTTTAATGAGAACATATTGTGCCAGTATGTGTAGCATGCTATGCTACAGACAAACATACTTATTTTAAGCCAAACCTTTTGTAGCCTAAACCAATGTTAAGCTAATTTTGAAAAG